GGTTTAAAAATAAATGTGCTTAAGTGGTATTTCTAGCAAGTGTTGGGTGTGAGATAGACCAGCTCAGGGCCTGCAGTTACCCAGTTTAGAAAGTGTTGGTGTGAGATAGAACAGCTCAGGCCTGAAGTCACCCATTCTAGCAAGTGTTGGTGTGAGATAGAACAGCTTAGGGCCTGAAGTGATCCACAGACATAATTTCTTAGAGTCATTATTGTCACATCTTACATTTGCCTAGCAAAATATGGTTTAGAAATAGTCTCTATACATTTACAAAGAAGATACCCCTCTGTACCTCAGGGCCTGAACTGTCCCTACAGTTTATGGCAAGCGTGGTGTTTTTTGACAAATGACATCAAACTTCTGACTAAGAGCTCTCTTGGTTTCATATCACAACTCTTCACCAATATATCTTACAAATCTTAAAAAAAGTCTTACTGGAAAAAATTATCTTACCTAACTTCAGTCTGCATTCCTTGGGTTGCTATCAAGGTAATGCTGTTTATTGGACCCTAGGTAATGCTTTTGAAAATCAATTGTTCAAGAATATGACAGACATTGAAGACCCCCTATGGAAGCCTCACCCTTCTTGGGGAGCAGAAAAGGTATAGGATGGGTAGGGTGTCAGTTGGGGCAGCAGGGAAGGAGGAGAGGGAGAGGGACCTGGAATTGACATGTACAATAATTTTCTTTCTAATAAAAAACAGAACAAAAAACAAAAAAATCAGAATGGTATGACACTAAAGCAAATGACAGTTTGCACTAAAGAGTATTCAGGCAAAGGCAAACACTCATCCATTACCAGTGAGAGTAGAAACTTATACAGCCACTTTAGAAATCAGTGTGTTATTTCCTCAGGAAGCTGGTGATTAATTGACCCCAAGATCCAGTTTTAGTATTCCTGGACATATACCTAAAATATGCCTCATCCTAATACAGAGATGCTTGTTCAGCCATGTTCATTGCCGCACTGTTCATAACAGTAAGAAATTGGAAGCAGCACAGATGCCCATCAATAAATGATTGAATAAAAAGAGAAAATCAGTTATTCATATTATTCTCTATTTAAAAAACTTGTATGTGTGTATATATAATTCTAATGAGTTTTAATAGCACATATTAAGGATATTAACCTTAACTCAGTGATAGTATATTATAAGTATTATGTACTTTCAATTTGTTTTCAGTTTTTATAAGTATTTCAAAAATATACAGAAATTCATTTTAAATACGATCACGTGTCTCATTCTTTATAGTTTTTTTGCTGTCATGTAATGCACTAAGATACTTTGCACCAAGTGCCATGAGGATGACTGTTACTCACTGGGAACTCTACATATGACTCAAAACCTAGAACCTACCTATTGTGAGAGACTTTGTTTTATGCACAAAATGATTAAAATATTATATTAAGTTACCGTATAGCTCCCTTTATAAGGTGTATATGGCATACAAATGAATTCCATGTTTAGACTTGGGTTCCATTCTCAAAATATATTATATGTATCCCCAAACCTGAAAAAATAAAAAATCTGGAGCAATGGTGCTCCCAGACATCATTTTGGAAGAGTTCTGTTTGTCTGCTAGTCTGTCTGTCTATCCATCCATTCACCTACTTACATCGCTCCCTCCCTATTTGTCTTTAAGTTGTTTTGAGAAATTTATCCAGATGCTAGAATTACTCAGTTATTCAAGAACCAAAGCAAAGATAGCATCTAAGGGGAAGGGAAAGAGTGTTAACATATTAACAAGGAGTTAAGTGACCAGGACTCCAGTCTCAACTTCATGTTAACTGGGCAAGCATACTAGGACAAGTCACTCCTGCCTCAGGTTTATTCTCTGGGTGAACAGAAGATTGAGGAAAGAAAGGGAAATATATAGGCATCAACAAGGGTAGGTGCTGTATTGGGCTGTCTGAGCGACAAACTGGTGGCTTGAGGCAATGGCATAAAGAACAGAGGAGCTACACTAAATCTCACCACCATAAGTCACCATTCCACTTTCAAGCTTGGAGTGGCAATAGAGCTCTTTTTTTACCTGCCTCCTCTTTATCATAATGCCCCTGCATTAGCTTTCACACGAACTTCCAGACATTCGTCTATGGGCATCGTGCGTGCATTCCAGCTATTCCACATCCTTGTCCAGGGAGGCTCTTCTCACCCTTCATAAATGCACAACAGCGTCTCACTGTGGTCTGAATCTCTGTTCCCTGATGAATAATGATGTTGAGCATTTTTGGGTAGGATTTTGGATGTCTTCTTGAATGATACACCCATTTCATGCTGCTGTCCCTTAAAAAGTTGGACGGTTTTTACTTATTAGTTTGCAGGATCTATGGATTGTAAGTGAAAATAATTGAAGCTGTAAACCAGGAACGAATTTAATTAAAATTATTTCATGTACTGTCAAATTCTCTTCATTTTTGGAAAAGAGTAATCATTGTTAGTTTGGCCAGTTTTATGTCTGGGGCAGAAAATGCTGGTGTATTTTAGCAGCAAAAGATTATCTTAGGACTAGAATAAAGGAATCATTCGAACAAGCAAAATGATACTTCTATATGCATTTGTCCTCTTTGCATAAGTAGTTTTCCTTTTGACAATTGGATCCTTATATGGGGGCCTTTGTGTTCTACGTTGCTCAGCAGGATCTGCCGGGAAATGGTTGATAATTCTATTTGTGGTAGTTACAACAGGGTATCCCTGTGAGTCAAAGGATAGCGGCCAAGAACTTATCCCTTCTTTTTTAAACTGTCTGAGCATAGAGACCAGAAAGGACTTCCTTGGTCTAGCACAATGGTTAATTTAAAAACATGCTTTTACTAAACCTTTGATAATTTCATACAATGTGTATTCATTATATGTACCCCTACTCCTTCCTTCAATCCCTCTCAGATCTATCTCCACATCCTTGCCTGTTCCCGACAACTTCCTGTCTTTTTTCCCCATATACTCTCAGATGTGGAACCATCCACCATAGTGTGCTTCAGTCACCAGGGTCTACACCTTTAATGAAAGCTGACTGTTCCTTCCAGAGAAATTACCGAGTGTCTATAGCTCCTCAGTCAGGGGTGGAGGAGGCTTGTGAACTTTTCCCACTGTATGCTAGAATGGTGGCTGAATTCATCTCTTGAAGGTCTTCTGTAGGCAACCACAACCGTTGAGTCCTTGAGCTCAGTGCCCTGTAATGTTCAGAGGACACTGTTTGCCACTGGTCCTCCCTGACCTCAGGTTCTTAGGTTCGTTTCACCTCCTTTTCTACTGTGGTCCCTGAGCCTTGGGGAGAAGGTGTGGCATAGATGTTCCATCTGTGGCTAAGCACCCACTGACATTCGTTCTCTGTTAACCAGCTCCGTCCCACTGTCCACTTCGCAAAAAGTCCTCTGATGAGGCCAGAGAGCTTCACTGATGAACAGGAAGAGAGACATACATTTAGAGTCAGTTTGATACTCAGTCTATTTGGTAAAATAACAGTAGTAGGTTCAACCCTGGAGACTGTGAGCTATGAAACAATGTTTTGGTCATGTTACCGTACCAGACATGCCTTTACTCCTTTGGGGTATAATTTAAGCCCAATCAGGCAGCAGTTGTTTGGTTTCCTCCTTTTACCATGTGCTTGAATTCTGGTTATCAGGCTAGGCAGCAAGAGCCTTCATTGGCGGAGCCATATCACAAACCTTACTGTTTAGTATTTATCTGCCTCCCTTGTGGAGAGGAAAAAGAAAAGAAAACAAAGGCAATCATGGATATTTTGTCGAAAGATTTTTATTTTTATTTTTTCATGTGGAGGAGTTTTTTTTTTTTTAATTAGGGGAAAGGGAATAGGAAAGGGAGGAGGGGAGTGGGAAGACTGGCCTGTGCTGACAGGAACAGCAGAAGAGAAGGGGGGCAGAGAGACAGGTAGAGAAGCAGAGAGAGAGAGAGAAAAAACAGACGTACACAGAGAGAAAGAAAGATGGGAGGTGGGAAAAGGTTTTTATCTTTATTTTTGAGAGAACTAATCCTCACAAGTTGTCCTCTGAATGCACTTACATTCTCGAGACCACATACACACACACACCTACCCCACCCACCCACCCACACACACACACTCTTAAAAATAAAACAGAAAAGCTTGCTGACAGTTACTACTCATAGTGACAGGGTGAGAATGTGGTTTTTAGGTAAAGAACAGTGGAAGGTAAAGTCTCTGGGTGACAAGGTAGACCACAAGAAGGACTAGTCCTATTTCTCAGTGAAGTATATTAGATACTAGCATTTAGAAAACAGTCTGCTTTGTCATCATTTTAATGACTATGAGCTATGTGCTCAATAACATGAATGAGTGAAGGGACAAGCTAATGCCCATTTCTGGCAAGGAAGGACACCACACTATGGCAATTTAACTGAAGGCTCTGGTTCACTTTTGTCAACTTAACACAAACCTAGGCATATCTGGGGAAAGGGGATCTCAACTGAGGAACTGCCTGCTCCAGACTGGCCTGTGGAGCTCAGTCTGGAAAGGGAAAATGTAAGAAAGGTAGCAGAACACCCCAGGGAAAGTGAGCCAATAGTCAGCACTCCTCTATGGTCTCTGCCTCAAGTGCTGCCTCTAGGCTCCTGTCCTGACTTTTCTCCATGAGGGCTTGGAAACTATAAGCTGAAACAAGCCCTTTCATCACCAGGTCGCTCTGGTGTTTTGTCACAGTAATAGGAAGCTAACCGGGACTGACTCTAAAAGGGAGGATACAAGGAAGTTTTAGGATGCAAAGGACAGTCAGTGAGAAAAGTGGGAGGCGACCTTCAGATTCAGAGAATACAGCCAGCTCAAGCAAACAGCAACTGATAGGAGATATAACGGTGTCCCAAGAAGTCATCACTTGGGGGGATTTATATTGAGTCAACAGAGATTGTCACAAAACACTTTTAAAGTCAACTCCAAGAAAGTATGAGTCTGTTCTGCTAATCGGAAAATACAGACCACAATTGTCCTGTCTGCCTCAAAATAGCTCCTTCCTGTCATTACAGGGAAGTGTGTTTAACACCTGGAAACCTATGTGGGTTGTGCTGTTAGAAGATGGAATTGAGTTTTATAAGAAGAAAAGCGACAACAGCCCCAAGGGAATGATTCCCCTGAAAGGGAGCACTCTCACAAGTCCCTGTCAGGACTTTGGTAAAAGGATGGTAAGTTCATATCACTAGCCACAATGACCCTTGTGTCACCTGCTGACCTTGGATGCCTTTTTCAAATTCTGCTTCCTAGCTCTCTCCTCCCCTCTCCATCCTTAAGGCTCAGTTTATGGACCTAGCTGTGCCACCTGCTGACTTTGGGGTCTATCTGCATTTTAGCAGTGTTTTCTAGGCAAGTGTCCCCTCTTGTCAACATCCACATTTTACACTGGCATTGCACTTTCTCTTTGTTGGAGCAGGTTTGTATCAACTGCTATGTTTCATGAGGGGCCTTGAAAGGGGTCATTTCTAATGGATGTTTGTTGATTTTCAGTTTGTGTTGAAGATCACTACAACCAAACAGCAGGACCACTTCTTCCAGGCAGCCTTCCTAGAGGAGAGAGATGCTTGGGTCCGGGACATCAAGAAAGCCATTAAATGTATTGAAGGAGGCCAGAAGTTTGCAAGAAAATCCACAAGGCGGTCCATTCGTCTGCCAGAAACCATTGACTTGGGGTAATTTTATGAGTTTGCCTCTCTCTCCACCCTTTGATTTTCTTTTCCTCATTGATCAGAGCATTTCAGGATATGTAGGTAAAAAGGGAAAAGCCAGGGCCATGAAGACTGAGTTTCAAGTTTGGATTCATGCTTTCCCTCTTAGTCAGGAAGGGTCAGCCAGTGTGAATGCCCATCCTGGATGAAGCCATTGGTGCGCTGACTTGATTAATGGCTTATGTGGTGCACTATTGATGACCAGGAAATTGGCACTTGTAATATACAGGTGGCCAGGGAGCAGCAGGTAATCCCAGGCCTGCTGGGGCTGGGAATCGGGTTCTTTCTAGTGTTCTTTACATCTGCTCATAAGTGCTTCTTTCTTCAGGGCTGTCATTCTTCTTGGTAGATTTGTTTTTTGTGTTAAGCAAGAGACACATTAGAAGGAATGCCCTGTTGGCTGCTTAAAATGTCTGACAAGAATTCAGTTCATATAGGGTGAGGTGAGAGGGCATGGGAGACATACTTTCAGTATAACTAATGTAAAAGTTGGCATGCCACAGGAATGGAATCATGTAGAGCTGCATGAGAACTAGAACTTCTCTCACTTGGGTAAGGCCCCAAGAGGAGAAATCTGGTCTAGACATAGCTGCTGGCTTCAGACATCATGTGACCACATTCCTGGCCAGAGATTTCAGAACTAAGTGGGAATGATGCTCAAAATGCAAAGAAACACAGAGACTTAGAATTATTCTGAAGAGGCTATTTTTAGTTTATTATTCCAGGGACAAAATACAAAAAACTCACTGTTTTTTCTGTACCTATTTAACATACATCTAGAAGAATCAACTTAGGAAAAGGGAGATTTATTGTGGCTCAAAGTGCTTAGTTTGACCTATTTCTTTTAGTCCCACAATGGTGGTTGGGGCTGCACATGATGGTATATGTGTACAATAGAGCATATCTGTTCATTTTGTGATTAGGATATGAAAGAAGGAACTTATATTCCCAAATGTCCTTCTCGGGCATGTCCACAATGACTTGAAAATTTTTCTCCCTCCC